TGGTTCAGAATACCTTGTTGAAATAGTTTCCCCAAATTAATAGATAAGTAGTTGAAGAAGCAAATTAATGAATAAGTTATTGAAAAGTCAACTAACGGTTATGAAAAATGTGTTGTAATAGTTTTCTCACAGTAAATGAATATATGGTTGAACCCTCTGGTTGTAGACGCCCCAAATGATTTCTCTTCCTTAACATAGATGATACCCAACCACAATTAAAAGTGAACACATTGAATTGAAGAAAACATGATGCACATTTTAATATTTCCACAGAAAGACTTCCTGTGTCTTTACTGTCCAGTCCAACATCTCAATTGGAACTAAGCTATAAAACGTCAAAATCCTTTCCCCCCCCCCGTTTGTGTGCAAAAGTCATGATTCAAGAGGAAACATTTATCTGTCTTAAGTCTTATTTTTGACAGAGATTTTTACAAAGCGTTTATGAGACACGCGCCCAGTGGACTCCAGTAAATGTCTATCTTCACTACTGCAGCCCAGAAGCATTTATCCTCCTCGGTGGTGGTGTTCATCAAAGTGCTGGACATAAACGACAACGTGCCAAGGCTTGCAAGAGATTACCAGCCATATATCTGTGAGGGGACACAGGCAGGAGAAGTATGTATATTATGATATACTCATGTTTTGGATTTACTGTAGAGACGTGACGCAAAGAGCGTTTCCTTGAATTAGGACCGTAAAGATTCTCTTATTATGTTACATGATATTACATGAAATAATTTTATTCTACACATCTTTATACACAAGGACTCACATCGGACATTTTACCTGAATGAGTCATCTTTAGATGTGTTGTGTGTGTATAGATATATATATATATGTGTGTGTATGTGACTACTGCTTTTCATATGTCTTCAGTTATATATCTTTTATCTCTCAGCTCATCCAGCTGCTCAGCGCTGTTGATCCAGACGAGCCTGTGGAGGGACACCATTTCTACTTCTCAATGGTCCCTGAGAAGCACATCAATCCCAACTTCACTATCCGAGATAATCAAGGTTATATTTGCTCAGATAATAAGGCGCACACATAATACCTCTCTAGCCTTATATTTACCATTTCCCTAATCCCGCTCAGGGTTGTGCACGTAATAGCGGCTTGGTGCCGAACACCATTAAAGCTGAAAAAGCTTCTTTTACATCCCAGATGGACTCTGGTCTGAATTCTTGAACGCAATCCTGAATTTCAATGCAGCCTGACCCAGACTGCTTCTGAATGACACGTTGCAATCTCGCCATCGTACCTGTCATGTCCCAGATGCTAGCAGCCGCATTTAGCCAGCTTGTTGTCAAGGGTAGGAGTTCAGGTTAAAGAAAAAATAAAGTGAAATGGCACATTGAAAACTAGCCATGCAAAGGAAAGAGACAGAGTGATGGTGAAAGTGTGTCTTCAAGGACAAATAGTCTGTCTGACATAGTCTGTTTCATGCTGTCTGAAACAAGCACGAGGTCGGCGTGTGTAGATTTTCCCTGAAACAGATGCTCACAGTGAAGATGAACAAAATAATACATCAACACCAAACATGTTCGTTTTGAGCCAAACCGTCGTGAGAATACGGAGTTAAGAGGTGAGCTGAAATCATCACATCAAGCTTAGCACCAGAGGAACTGAAAAATGAATCATGCAACAAGACTGGGCAGTGAATCAGCATTTTTAAACACACGCACACCAGGCAGCAAAATCATTCACACAGACACGTCACTATGTTCATGTTTGTAGCCTGAGGACCTTAAATAAGACTTGGATCTGCAACTGGACTCTCAGTTTATTTTTCAGAGTGTTTAAAGGTCCAGTGTGTACTTCACCACTAGATGTCCCTAAACCCTACACACTGAACCTTTATACAACAAATGTCCAAACAGAAGCCACGTACTTTATTTCTGTGACATTGCAGAGCTCATGTTCTGGCTGATGACGTTGCGTCTTTACTTCCTCCTGATGTACAGAAGTTTAGCCAAAATGTTCTGCATGTGGGCGCCGTCATGTTGTGCTGTCCACACACTCAGATAAACCAAACGTACTGGAAAAGTGAGCACGAACAAAAATCAGTGTGAAGAGAACTACATAAAAAGACAGAAAGCATCTTTGATAGCTATTTATTTGAAGTGTTTTTTGATATTTTCAGATTTTAGTTTGAATTTGAATGAACGCTGTGTGTTTGGGAGCTGTTTTTGGATGATGCTGTGGTTTTTGAGTCTGACAGCCTCTCTAGTAAGTAAATTGAAAGAGTGTTTGCCTTAAAGTACTCGACCTTCTTTCAGATTTCATAATGAAAAAGTGCTGAAAAATTGAACAAACTGATTTGTTGGAGTGTGCGGCGGGGGGATGTTTGAACGTATAGGTTGGAATGAAATGTATGCAGGTGCAGTGTACGGGTGGTTAGCCAGGCAGGCACAGCAGTCCAGTCAGCAACTAGGAAATGAATAATGAATCAAGAAGGAGCACTTTTAATAAAAACACATTTCCATATGCCACAAGGCATATTCGACTACCCAAAAGTTTTTGTTCAGTGCCTTAATAAAGTCTCACAGGTACAGCCAAACCTGAAGCAGATTTTCCAGATTTACTTTTGTACACACTGAGAATTCGATTTGACAAGGTGCTGGGGCCGTCCACAGAGCTGGGATTGTGTTTTAAATCCCATTACGTGTGTCACTTCACTAGTTATTCATCTTATTTTTCAATTCCCCCACAACATCAGCACTCACACGGCAAGTGGTGGTGTTTTGTTTTTTTTTATTTCTAAAGAAAGCTGAAAAGTGCACCTCTGCCTCTTGATTTCAGACAATACAGCCGGCATCGTGGCACGCAGGAGTACGTTCACCCGCAAGGACCGAACCCAGTACCTCCTGCCCGTGGTGGTGACAGACAGCGGCTCTCCAGCCCTCTCCAGCACCAGCACTTTGACCATCAGCGTGTGCAGCTGCCAACCTGCAGGACATTGTCCCTCAGGAGGGGTGGAGGCGCTCGCTCTGTCGATGGGGGTCAGCCTGCAAACACTGTTGGGGCTCCTGGTGTGTCTGGTCACACTCACAGGTAAACGTCAAACCATGTGTCTGCATCCGTCTTCGGCTGCTACATCAGACCATGATAGTCATTCATATGAAGGGATGTATGTTTTTATGGAGTTTAGTCTTTTGGAAATCTTTATCATCTCACATCAGAATCATTTCGTCTTTAAGATTGAAAAATATGAAAAAGCAGCTTGAGCTGGAAGATAAGTTCTAAATGTGAAGAGGTTATCAGAAATACACATCAATAAATAGTGCTGTGAGTACGATAATTAAAAATTGAGTTTTTAAAAAGAATATATCTTCATAGTTTTCCCTTAAACTCCAATCAGATGATAAAACCCTTTTATCATTTTTTTTTTATCTTTTAACTCCAGAAGTTGTTTCAATAATTCAAAACTTAATTTATTCCACTCGTAGTTTTTATCTTTCACTGGAATGATTTAGCTGCTGTTCTATACATTTACACAATTATTCTTATTTCTTTTTTTACATTCCACAAACTTTAATAACCTCCACCACAGAAGATTTCATTGCTGTTTGTCTGTCCGTCAGCAGGATTACGCAAAAAACTACTGAACTGATTTTTAGTGGATGGGTGCTGTGGATTCAAGTCAGAGGCAAATCCAGGGTTTTCTTCTCCACTTAATATTGCAACTTAAGGTCTTTGGTATCAATGAGTGTTTGCAATTCCGTGCGGATCCAAATAAAAATCTGTATCTAGTGGATTTCAATGTGTTTTTCTAGGGCTGTAATGCTTTAAACCTCCAGCTGCCATTACTATGTAGCTGAGAAATGTGATGTGGCCTTAGCTGTGAGGCTTGTTTTAATTTGAGGTGACATTTGGGCCTTGGGTGAGGAATTCTTTCTACTGAGTTCACTTGTAGTTCATGTTTTCAGGTGTGTTTTTGAGTTTTATGAAACCGTTTTATTGTGATGATGTTAAAATACAGAAACTTTGACTCATAACTCATCAGAAATAATGAACTTTTGGGAGCAGAAGAATCATCCCTTTAGAAATGTTGTGTAGTCAGACCTCCATCAGCTGCACCCTCGAGGCCCCTGAGGCTGGGAGCAATTTGTACAAGTGTAAAAGGCCGAGATACGACGGGCTGTGGGTATGCTCACCGTAAAACCAATAAAATCCCTCTGAGGAGAAGAATTAGTATTTACAGAGATATTCTAGATTCAGGAACTGGAGATGTGTCGGTAATTCCAGAGGAAATTTCTCTGATATTTTGCTTTTCCAGCGGATCTGCTGAGCTAGAGCAGTTCCACCTCACCTAATTTCGGCAAGTATATAAACATGTGCTTAACGGCAGGTTTTTTTTTTATTAACACATCTGCACTTTGATGTGAATCCCCTGTTTTAAAACTCACCAGTGTGCCTTTAACACGTACTTTTAAGTTGCTGAAAGCTTGCAGAGCAATGATGTCAGGTAATGAGCGCATTGGTTGCAATACATCAGTAGCAATGCCGTCCTGGGACGCTGATGGGTTTGCATAGTGAAAAGCTTTATTATGACCTCGGCTGCTTTGTGTCCTCCCTCTGCCCATCACATGAAAGATTAATGACGATACCTGCTATGCTAACACTCTGTCAGATGAGAACAATACCCGGTGAAAACACGGCAGAAACAATCAACACTCCTTCAGCTTTCTGTGCCACATGGAGCAGATACAGTCATTTCTCCTTTATGTGAGACCCGAGATTAAAAAAAGATAAATTGTGGCATAATTTGCCCTCGTTTTGATTTTTGCACCCACAAGTTGTCACAGAAAAAAACAAATCTGGCTGCTATTATCATCAGTGCATTTTTACATTGTACGTGCATGCTCCATCAGGCACCCTCCATGCTCTTTTCTCACCACGCTCATGCCCTGGTGTTTAACTATAATGATCTCCCGCTGCGTTGTGTCTGCAGTGCTGTCAATTCTAATGCTGATGGTGAGGAGACACAGGCGGAAACAGCAGGAGGGGCAGGATGTGGAGGTGAAGGAGCTGGAGCTGCCGGAGACGGTGTCTCAGAAGGTGCTGTATTACGGAGAACCCGGGGGTGGCAGAGCGGGCCTAGACTTCTGCCAGCCCGCTGTTCCCCTGCGCCACCACCCCCACAGGAGGAGGGAGAGGCGGCTGCGGAGGGAGGACGTCAGGGCCAGCATAAGGATGTCCTTGAGAGAGTCGCACCTCATCGGGCCGGAGGACGAGGTCTTCAGGCAGTTTATTCTGGACAGGTTGGAGGAGGCTGATCGAGATCCTCGCTGTCCCCCGTTCGATTGCCTCAGGATCTACGCATATGAGGGGTCGGGGTCTCCCGCAGGCTCCCTGAGCTCACTGGAGTCGGTCGCTTATGAGATTGAACCTGAGCAGCCAGCTTGTAATACCAGGCCCTACGTAGTGAGGCTCACCCCTTGGTATGGGGGAGGAGAGGAGGACACCATCTTCTGAGAGGTTCTTCTTCAGTGGGAATACTTTGACATTTTGTGAAATATATGTTTATTCCCTTTTTTTTTTCTCAAGACTGTACAAAGCTACAGTCGGCAGTAAGTCTGTGGAGGTGCTGGTCGGTCAGGCTAAGGCTAAACTAAGCTAACCAACTGATGTATGTACAGCACAGATAGCGAGAAAGTGTATTTTACAAAATGTCAAACTATGCCTTTAGAGGAAAAATCAAGCCGTACACATAAAAAGCTATTGTTTCCATGTTTTTTCTAACTTGCTGTAACTGTTCAAACGTAGATGACATGAAGTTTGTTGGACCTTTTCTCTCTGGACTCCGCAACAATCAAATCCCATCCAGTCTCCTTGATAAAATACCAAATCTCTACAGCTCTAACAGATATTTCAGATATTACATTCATGAGGCTGTTCACATCAGACCACTGGCTCTATTTTCCTGACGAGTGACCCTTCGGTCATGCAAATAATGACTGTCCTCCTTAACAATAGCACAAGTGGAAGCAGTGTGATGTGGCTCAGCTGCTGAAAAGCCTCTCGACAAAGAGGTCAAGGTGCAAGGTGGGACAATATCGGTTTGACCTATATTTCACAGACTGCGGCTTGAATCATTTCTGCTCAAACGATGTCACATTATCCGCTGATGAAGCTGTAAAGGCAAAAATAATTGGCTTTTGAAAAATCCAGGAGACGAGGAGCAGCGTGAGTGTTTAGCTCAGAGGAAACAGTGATGAATATTATTTCTTATTCACTCTCCTTCTTGCTCTGTTTTGTTCTCTCTTAACCTGCAGCTGCACTTCTACATTCAACAGCTGGAGTTGAGTTACAGTTCTGGAATGGACGGGTCACATCCAGTGGGTGTTTGACCCGCTGCAGACGGGAACAAGGTTGTTGTGTGCAGCCTGAAAACCAAACCAATGAGTTCCAAGTGATGTTTTGTTGCTATAGCGACCTTTTAACATTGCACATTTTTACATATTGTTGATGTAAAATCTAATTGATGCACACAGTTTTAACGCTGAACCCTAACCAGCCTTTAACTTAACCTTGTTTTCTTGTTTTCCATTCGGTCACATGATTCACCATAATATCACCACAAGACAAAAACGTCCCTTTCTCTCGCCTGTATGAACATTTCCTTCCCAGTATTTATAGGGAGCCACTCATTTTATGTTTGCTTGTTACACCCACACTGAGAATTAGTCATTAGTCAGTGAACAGCTGAGTCTGTGCACGTTTGTCGAGGTCGTATTTAAAGGTGCAGTGTGTAGAATTTAGTGATATCTAGTGTTGAAGTGTTGCAGCTGAACACCCCTCACCTCAGCCTCTCCCTCTAACATGATAAGAAACATGGCGGCCTCCGTAGAGAGGGTCCCCTCCATGTAAGTATAAAGTATTTGAATATAAAGGACCTTTTCTGGGGTAAAGAAAACTACAATTCATACAATTTAGATGAAACGAACAAGTGAAAACATCATGAGGATTATTCTACATTAAATTTCTGCCAGTAGTTCCCTTTCACCTAAATCTTACACACCGGACCTTTAAAAGTCGAACATAACTCATTAGAGTGCATACGTCCATCAAGGCCCAACAGTCCCTTTAAATTCAATCAAGCCAAACCAAATCACACACACTCATAGATGTTCGTCTTAATATGCCTGATTTTTTTCATCAAGATTCATAAATTATTCCCTTAGAAATCGGTGAAAATGTCAAAAATCCAATCTTGCGATCTCCAAAAAAAAAATTTAAACATTTCCTGGATGTTCGAAACCTAATAACTGAGATCTAAGAAGAAGTTAATATATATATCAAGCAAAAAGCTGTCACTGACATTAAAGTGTTAAAGAGTGCAGTTATTACAGTATTTTTATTACAGTATTATGTTAAATATCTGTGATTATTTTATATTATTTGTAATATTATTGTAGTTCTCATCATGCTGTTTTATATTTTTGGCTCATAACAGTTTGTACTCTATATGTTTTTGTATTTTTCCGCTATAAAATTATTTGAATCAATGGAAACTGACGAAATATTTTTTTCTAAATGGAGATTTTTTTTTTTTTGATTCCTGATCAGTCTTATCCGGACAGAAATGAGAGGTTACATAAGAGAAGTGTATACATTAAATATCAAGTGTTTAACATGTATTATGCTGTATGATAAGATTCTCCGCTTTCTGTAGAGTCACCAGAGAGCCCATCGTGCTGCCCGTGTCAGCCAATCAGCGGCGGAGAGAGGGCGTCCGGGTGGCGAGGAGCAAAACTGCAGCAAACTAAGGTTGCGAGAGGAGAAGAAGTTAGTGGAGGATTGATTTGAAATGTATGAAGAAAGTGAAACTCTTGAGAGAGCTCATGATTTACTGTTCGCCTTTCTTCTTTACAGTATTATTGGCAAACGCGGCGTGCTCACAGTAGTTGCGTGGGCGGCTGCTCGCGGGGTGACTCGAGGTAATTGCATGGTGATCAGGTTCCGTCCCCCTTCACCCTCTCATCCGCTAATTGGGCTGTTTTCTGTCTGTGAAGGTCAATGTTTGGACCAGAGAGGAAATAGTTCTCAGTGAAGAAAAACACACAGACCTATTTGGAAAATAGTTGAAATACCTCGAGTTAGGAGACAATGTGAGGAGACAACTAATTGCTCGAATCATTTCTGCTTTTCCTGTTTTCTGCGTTTGTTACTTGTCTGAGGAGGCACACATCTCAGCGGGACGATTTCCAGACGTCGCTGCAACTCAGATAGATTCCACTGTTGTAAACAATCCATCCAGACGCTGCTTTTTAGACATAATCATTGTCTCACAATTGCTTCTAAAGACGTAGGTGTTCACAAAAAAATTGCCTTTTTCAAAGCCCTTTCAAAGCAGGCTCCGCGGTCCAACATGTCTGATGTGGGGTCTGCCCATGAAGGCTCTGTTATAATTCCCTCTTCAATAGAACCTTAATGTCAAAAGTCATTCAGCTCCTGGTGTCATTTAACCTTCTGAATTTCTGTCATTACCCATGGTGCATATCACGGGTAATTTAACCTAATAGCTCTTTTCTTTGTGTAATTATACCCATTACGGCAATGTGAGGGATTTCATCCCGTCACCTGTCTCTGTCCTCTGTGCTCTCCCCGCACAAGATATAGATTCAGCTCTTCTTTTCAAACGTGGTGCCAAACCCATCGCCGAGCGCCACAATGCTCACTGGAGGGTCTTTGAGAGAGGCTCTCGTTTGGCAGACGGGGGGGCTGATTGAATAGATGCCTGAAAGGATTGTGAGAGCCATTTAAAAAAGAGAATCATTTGCAACATATAAGCCTTAAGGTCTGGCTGAAGAGAGATCAAATCATTCATACACAATTTGGCAACATAATTATATCTGGATGATATTCTGAGTGTGTGTGTGTGTGTGGAACAGTTGTCAGCTCATTGACGGATGTTTGAACGCCTACATTACGTCTATGGACATGAGTGGTACGCTCCGAAATCGATGCTGATTTTAAGCAGGATTTTAGAATGTAAGTGAGCGTTCGCACTGAAAAAGAGACAAAATGAAACACTGGAAGCAGAAAGGCATGAATACCAAATAGTCGACATTTGAATTTGTTGTTGATGGATATTTTTTACTTTAACGCACAAAGGAAATGCAGGAGCTGCTCTCGCTAGTAAAAAGTCTAGATCCTATAACTCAACAATATTCAACAATTAATCATAGGAAACACATTTTGGTTTTAGAGGTGATATTCCAGAGTCTGACGGTCGTCACGTGTCACTTCCTGTTGACTAATGTTGATTTTAGTAGATTTGGGTCGGAGCCCGACCCTGTAAACTGAGGATCCCTTGTTCATCATCTGGGAACCATGAATGTTCAGAAAGTGATGTTTTAAATTAAAGACGATGTGAATGAGGCTGCTTTGAGTTTCAGCCATTTTGCAGGAAACACGTAAAGTGTCGCTGTTTGTTGGAAACTTTTGTTACGAGGGTTTGTCTCAATCTTTCATACGATGAAATCTTCCCTGAATTACTTCATTAATTTCACCGCAGGCCTGTTTCAAGCTAAGACTGTGGTAACTACTCATAATGGAAAAACGAATCGAACTTAGAATTGAAATAGATCCCGGATCATGATCCACAAATGAAAGACAGGATTGATAATACCTAACGAAACCTGGAATGTGAATTAGTCCCAGAGACTCCTGCACAGATAATCAGAAACCTGGATCATGTCAGATCCATGCAGGGATATGAATAACCAGCTTATGTACCATGTCTGATCCTACACAC